ATTTTTAGGAGAGACAGGGTTTCCCCATGTTGGTCAGGCTGGTCTCAAACTCTCGATCTCAGGTGATCCACCTGCTTCAGCCTCCCAAAGTACTGGGATTACAGGCGTGAGTCACAGCACCTGGCCACAATTAACTTTGTTTTTAAAAATAAGTAGAAAGAGTGTGAGCAGGGTGGCTCACACCTGTAATCCCAGCACTTTGGGAGGCCGAGGTGGGCCGATCACCTGAAGTCAGCAGTTCAAGACCAGCCTGGCTGATATGGTTAAACCCCGTCTCTACTAAAAATATAAAATTAGTCTGGCATGGGTGGTGCATGCTTGTAATCCCAGCTACTCAGGAGGCTGAGGCAAGAGAACCGCTTGAACCCACGAGGTGGAGGTTACGGTGAGCTGATATTGTGTCACTGCACTCCAGGCTGGGCGACAGAGTGAGATTCCATCTCAAAACACAAATAAATAAATAAGTAGAAAGAATACACTCTAACATAACAATAAAATTAGTACAGTAAATACACAAACTTGTAACAGTCGTTTACTATCAAGTATTATGTACTGTACATAATTGTATATGCTGGAATTTTTTTTTTTTTTTTGAGACAGGGTCTTACTTTGTTGCCCAGGCTGGGGTACAGTGGTGTGATCAGGGCTTAAGCAGCCTTGACCTGCTGGTCTCAAGTGATTTTCCCACCTCAACCTCCCAAGTATCTAGAACTCCAGGCGCGTGCCACCATGCTTGGCTGATTTTTTTTTTTTTTTTTTTTTTTGTAGGTACAGGATTTTGGCATGTTGCCCAGGCTGGTCTTGAACTCCTGGACTGAAGCAGTCTGCATCCCCAGCAGATTTGTAATCCCAAAGTGCTGGGATTACAGGCATGAGCCACTGTGCTCATCTGTGTTAGACTTGTATATGACCAGCAGCACAGTAGGTTTGATTGTGTTGTGTTGTGACATCGTAGCTACAATGGGATAGAAATTTCTCAGCTCCATTATAATCTCTCGGGACCACTCTTATATATGTGGTCTGTAGTTGACTGAAATGTTATGTGGTACATGACTATATAAGAAGGTTAATAGGTCGTGAATAGCCAAACCTTCTATTATTCTAGGTTTTTTCTTTTTCCTCCCAGCCCCAGAAAACTTTATAGACCAGCAATGAGAGGCTGAAATTCTTTTTTTTTTTTTTTTTTTAGACGGAGTTTCGCTCTTATTACCCAGGCTGGAGTGCAATGGCGCGATCTCGGCTCACCGCA